CGATCCGGCCCGCGGTGCCTCGGGTCCCCGCTCGCGGCGGGGACGGGGGAAGGGCCGCGCGGTACCGGGGGCCCTCGGGCGGCTCCTCAGCCATTTTGTGGTTGGGGAGGCGCTGGCGCCCGCCCGCCGCCGCCGCGGTGCCCGTACCCGTGACGGATGGTTTAACCGCCTGCGCCATCCAAGGCAGCTTCTGGGCACTTGTTTTTTAGGGCATTTAAGTACACGCCTACAGGGTTAGCTGCTCTTCATGCCCACGCGTCTTTATCTGTTTGCGTTTTTTATSAACAGTGTATGTTTTCTAGCCTATTTTTTCATCTGCCTTTACATACTAATGCCCTTACGTACTTCCTTACTTGGAGACTTTAAATATTTAAACTAACAGGTTGTCAGAGGAAGCYGCCCATCTCCACGCCGTTGCCTCATGGCCTCCCCAAGTTACTGCTGCCGTTTCAAAGGGGCTGTCTCCATGTCCCGGTTCACCCAACACACCCGTCACCAACCCCTCAACACCCACAGCTCCCCGGGATTCGGGTGGCTGCCTGATGCTTTACAGCAAGCATGGCGATTCAGCGCTTAGGGCGCTCCGAGAGTCCCTGTGTGGCAGGAGCAGCACCTGGGATCTCTCCCTTTCTTTTTGTGGTTCTTCGTATAGAGGCATCATGCCCTATTCGGTGGAGGCTGTCTCGGGTGCACAGCCCTGTTAACCCATTTCATCCAGGTCCCTGGTGCCAGGGAAAAATCRGGGTGGTCACACAGAGGAAGCCACATCGACTTTCCGATGAATTCRTGACAATCTTTAATAGGAACTTGTCATCAAAACAATTTAAGGAGGAAATTCCGAAAGCATTTTTTCAGTGTGATTTGGCCGGCCTCCACTGAGGGAAGCCACAACGGGCTGATAGACCCTGCCAGCACCAGGACAAAAAGGCTGAACAGCAGCGGCCTTTGTCTCTACTGCTCTGCCATTCGGATCCTTTTCTTTTTCTTTTTTTTTTTTTTTTTTAACTGCAGTCTTTGATATTTTGCCAAATCTTGGCAATTAAATACAATGCCTTTTTTTTTTTTTTTTTTTTTTTTTTTTTATCTCTTGCACCAGTAAAGACCCATAGCTTTCCTGTTGGAGGATATCTACTTCTGAGCCGCCAGCCAGGCCACAAATGAGAATTCCCCAGTATCTGCGGCTGCCAACTAAACGTGGATGCCCAGAGGCTGCTGAAGCTGCTGCCTGTTTCCAGACCTGAGAGGCACCGGCCCAACCGGCTGCCCGAGCCTTGGGAGGTGGCAGAATGAGGGGYATGGGGGCACCCTCTTGCTAATTAAACTGACTTGATATGGGGCTAATTCAGCCCATTGCAAATGCAGCTTTGCTGACTTGAGCTGCTGTCCTCACCGGGCCACCTGTATGAAATTTGGGGCCCAAATTTGGCAGAGAATAAGCCCAGGATAAAGCCACTTGTTTCAAAAGTTTTTACCAGCTGCTTTAAATTTTGTTGTAGAGACCTGCCTCAGAGATTGTTTGATGTCTTCTCCATAGGAAATAACATCTCGAATGTACAGCCTTTCCTGGACACCAGAAACCATCCGCATATCAAGTGTTTTTGTTGGATTCTGTTGCAAATACTCACCTATACAGTTACTGAAACATTGTTCCTTTTGCTATAGCACTGAATTATTCAATATTATCATCCGCTGTGCTCTTAAAAGATCTCTTTCACTGTTAATTATTGAGGCGTAACTCTGCTTTCTTAATTAATACTGGTATTCCTTGTGAAGGGAGCCTGGTCCTGCAGTCAGCTGTGGGTCACGATGCCGACTAGGGGATTGCTTCTGCACATTCCCCCCACGGCGTCTCATGCAGCTCGCTCCGTACCCGTCTCTGGCRGCTGCACCTTCTAGGGGGCACAATCAGACTATGTAATAAACGAACCTGAATATGTGAACGCGCCTTTCCCGTTTCCGGCCGCGCTATTCCCAGCGCTCGCTCCCCGCCCCCTGGCACAGCCTTTGTTCCCAGCCTTCCTTGAAGCCTCCCAGGCCACGCAGGCGACGGGAAAGCGCTTCCCGGAACGCGCTTCTCTTTCACGGGAAGCTGCGCGAGGGGCAGAGCGCAGGGGCCCTGGGCGCTGCCAGGGGCAGCAGGGCAGTGGGAAGGCGGCGGTCCCAGGGCTCAGAGTGGGAGGCTCCGACCACTCTGACGGGCTCTGCCGAAGCCCTCCGCATAGCTGGCTGCTCCTTGACATGTAAAGCCAGCTCCAGCCCTTGTAAGGGAAGGTTTTCGATGTGGGGCATTTTGTGAAATGCAAATTCTGCTTTTAGACGAAATTGCTTTTGTTTCTGTATGCTGTGATCTCACGTTCGGCTCCAGGCGCCTTTGATTTTATTATGTGCCAAGTGCATCTGTGTCAAGTCTGAGGTACAAATTTGAAACTCAATGTCTTAAGTATATACAAATCATCATAAAGTATACACTGTTATCTTAAAAATAAGACGTCATGACCCTTTTTCCTTACTCTGTGCTATTACAAAGTGTTGCTGGTGGAACATTGATTGCAAAATTTGATTTTTATCTATCCTTCCAGATTTACAAAAATTGATAGCACTTGGGTAGAGTGTTTCACTCTCTGTCTTGTAATGCCATTTTCCTTCCCCTGCTGTTTGTATAAAGTCCCTCATCCGCATTGAAATCAGGAAGGGAAAAGACAGGGTTACAAAATATAAAAATAAAAATAAAAGAGCAAACCATGTGTTCTCAGGGGTAGGAAAGCCACATTCAATCCCCATGCTTTGTAGTTATTATCAGTTAGACTTTAATTTGACTTTCTCTTCTCAAATGTATAAGCAAAATGCTTGTGGTAATAAGCAAAATATACATAATGTGTCCAAATGATATGAAGTGTCTTGCAAGAGAATCAGGCTTATTAAAATCTTTGCTAATTCCATACTTTTTTAAAAAGAAACATAAAATGCACCTTGCACAATTTTCTTTTCTGGCTGTGTTTGTCATGGTATTTCTTTTATTTAGCGGCATGGTTCCGTATTTTTGCTTACTTTAAGGTTATTTCAAGAAAACTCAAAATCAGATTGTTAAAAACAGTGATGCTGTACTTGTGGCTATGATGGAGGATGCACACAAAATTTCTCATTTTCCTTTTATGTGTATACAAATGTCCTGTAAAATCGTTTTTAAAGCTTACTGCATTAACTGTAAGAAAAAGGACCAAGCACCTGCAATCTGTCTACATCGCATTCGAATAATTTTTATATTCAGTTGACATTTTTAATGTTTATTTTGGGGCRTATAGTAGATATTCGTAAACGGACAGTTTTTCAGCTGGTTTGGAGTCATATAAGGACTTATCCTATGTCTTATCCTATGTTGGCAGTTGGCCAGTAGAGCCCGTTCCTGCAACTGGAGCGAGCAGGCCTGAGCCTTGCTGCGAGCTGTGGGATCCTTTTTACAGTCAACAAAGCCTGGGAAGTAAAATGACGCTTATAATCCATGGAAAGATCTATAAAATGAGAACTTTTAGAGATTATCATTTATTGTTTATGATTGACATAGTGATTTCCCTCCTGGCAAGCAGAGGTTCCTGTATCCTGCGGCTCTGTGAAGGGGAGTCTGAGTCACCTCGGTGGCCTGAGCCACCCCAGTCCTTCAGCGGCGTCAATTCGTCACCTGAGTCACCGGGAAAGCAGCAGGTAGGGTACATGSAGTCAATAAAACATCTACTAAAAATGCTGCCAGCAGTAAGGATCAATATTTGCTTTTAACAAGCTAAATTCAGCGCAAATGCCCTGTGGATGAGCCCCGCTTACCCGCCAGCCTGTCTCGTAGTGGGTTCCTGGTGTCCTGCTGAGTATTCGTGTGCAGGCAGGAATTTCCATCCGCTTCCTGGGGCAAAGTGAATTTACCAGTAGTGCTGCCCACCTTGTGCCCTGAGGCCYCAACGGGGCTCTTTGGCCGTGGGCAGCAGCAGGCAGGCAGGAACGGCGCTGTTTGTCGCGGGGGGATTGGCCATTTTGTGGGCAAAGATGGCGACGCGTGAGGTGGTGTCTCGAGATGGCGGCTGGCGCGGGGCCTCATCAAAACCCGRGCCCGAGGAAGCGGCCCTTCCAGCACGCCGAATGGACTCATCGTGTATGGTAAAACACATGTGTGTATTTTGTACATAAATATACAAAAATGTAAATATAAATATACAATAAATACTCAAYATGTATGAAAATGGCGTTTTTTTCTTTTTTTCTTTCTTTTTGGTAGTGAGGGTGGGCGGGGGGAATGGAGCGTTTCAGACTTAGAGAAGGAAATGAGGGCAGGAAAATATGCTGTTTAAGTACACTGGCCAGAGCAAGGCTAATTTCAGTCAGATATTAGCCCCCCGAGGCACAAAGATGAAACAAGGGTTCAGTAACAGTTCCCGCAGGCAGGTACAAATGGTTACCAGTGAATTAGCAGTGTATTGCAGCTTTGCTCTTGGAAAGACTGGCGAGGCAGGTATTTGAGCAACTTTATGGCTGGAAGCAAAAAGGCATAAACTTACTGAGCTAAGCCTGGAACCTGGAAAGAGGAGAGGAGAGGAGAGGAGAGGAGA